GGGGGGGGGGATGCGCGGTAGCACACCCGCAATTTTTTGAAAAAAAAAATATCGTTTTTTTGGTTGTAAATTAATTCTCCAATGTTTGGTGGCATCCGTTACGGGTACTAAAAAGAACTTTTCAACAAACGTTTGTAATGACAAAAATTTCAGATGTATTGCAAACAGAAATGTCTTTACGAGATAATACGACATCGAACGTCACAAAATGTTTCATACGCAGCAGATCGGGCGATCGTTTTTCGCGTATGTTGGCAGTTGGTCAGATCGTTCAGCTTCATCAGATTCAGGTAGAATATCCCGTTGGAAACCAGGCCAATTTCAGGATAACCAAGATTATTTAAATTTTTTTCCAGTTAACTTTTATCGTTTTGTTGGGATCAGGAATTGTTTGGGCTTTTGATTCAGCATCGTTTCATTTGTAAGCAAGCATTGTTGCGGAAAACCCTCGAAAAGTTGGCCAAGAAACCGGCTAAAAGGAAAAGGAAAGAAAAGGAAGGTGTATCTTGCCTTGTGAGGAGATACACAGTAAATGTGCTGCCAGGCTGAACTTAAAGCACAAGGACCGGTGGTGTAGTGGCAAAACATTGCATCCGGACGTAAAGGGGGCTGGTTCGATTCCCTACTGACGCACAACAATTTTTGGAGAAAGGGTTCTGTTCACGACAAACATTTTAGGTTCGAATGAGAGCTGGCACGCGACCCACGCTATTCGGTGAACTGAATGATGGTAGATTATCTGTTATATTATTCAACGCTGCGCCAGCTAACGATTACGACGTCATTTACGAATCATCGAACAATTACAGTTTGGCACCCAATTACAAGGATAAGGTATATTTCTTGCATTCTTTGAATGATAATGGCGTAACTGATCTCTCGAAATCACTGAGATTTAGCCAATTTCCAGTTCTTACCTCCAGTCAATGTCTCTGTTCCTTTCCAGACAATAACTTCGGTCTCCACCTCCTACTTGTGTCCCTCGGGAACTCCTGCACGAGTCCAGTGTCTTAATTTCTCTTTTTTCCCCTCCTCTACCTCTTTTGGTTGCAGATCTTCTGCATTTATCATTTTTCGATGATTTTAGTTATAATTTTAAAGCGTTTCATTAAATTCAACTTAAAAAGCCGTTTTTGCTACGTATCTCCTACATTCTTCACATCATTTTTTGAAGATTCTTGTCACATTTTTAAAGATTTTCGCTAAATCCAACTTAAACAGCCGTTTTTTCGCTAGAAAAGTACCTCCCGTTCGGCGCGTCGGCGACATTTTCATAGGGTTGCCGTGGTCAAAACTGTAGTACTTGGTACGCTGCGTGCTATTTTTCCTGGGCATTCATTTCATGTCAGTTTTTTCTCCGTTCACGATGAAGAAGGGAATAACGCGTGTTTTCCAGATCGCTATATTACGTGAACTGAATATCGGCCACTCAGTTACTGCCAATGAGCCGAGTTTTCCATCATCAGTTATTGTGAGGCATTTAAACGAATTCACTCCATTCAGTTTCCAAAATGTTGTTGTACAGGTAAAGTTCTTTCGATTAGCAATGGTCCACTACTTCACATGGTAAGCTTTGGCCTACTTACAGCCGCATAACAACCACTTTACAGCTCTGACCTTCTTGTCAACCCTGCTCGGCATGACCAATTTTGGCTGGGCTTCTATCGTCCTTCCTTTTTATTCTATTAAATTTTATGGGTGTTTTTGATTCTGTGTTTTTGATTTTATTCTATTAAATTGATTATTCCTCAGGAAGTGGGGCCAGCACACCCATTTTTTCCTCCCCTCCCCTACCTCGTGATTTTTACCCATTAGCGAGTTATATTGTATCGATAGCATGAAAAAATTCAAAAACCCCCTTCCTATTTGCTTTCATTGAGTAAGGGATCTGCAGTACTTAGATGTTAATAAATTTGTTTTAGTAAACTCACTAGCCCAAATCGTCTCTGTACGCGAGCCAGTATCTCATGTTTTTGACATAATCATGCGGCTGGGAAAACTTTTATAATAGATGCATTAGAACCTTATTTTTAGCGAGCGGTGGCCTATTTGATGCAACTACTGGTTCCTGGTCTCTGATCTTAGGCTTCTGGATTTGCTTCGAATTTATCATTATGGAGGGAAACAAGAATCTCTCTGTAATTCTTCAATTTGTTGCAATTTTCGATCGATGTTACTTATGCCAGGGAATCATAAAACTTCAAAGATGTCGTCGAGGAAAATTCATGATCAACAGAAGTTTTGCGAAGCGTTTCTCCTCGGGCCTTTTCCCACGGACTTTTCGGCTTCGCTGGAGCTACCAGATTATTTTTATCCTCGTTGCTGCTTCCCCTAGTTCTCATGAAACTTCTGTTTTATGCTGGGCAAAAAACAATCTTTTTTTTTCCAGGCAATATCACTATTTATCAGTGAAAGAAGGGGTGTGGTGCTACGCTGTTGGGACACTACAAAACCAGGGTTATTTTTTTTGGATGTATATATTTGTGTATGTTGTGCACGTATTTGTGTTGTTGTAGTGTGTA